AAAGAAAATTCGATAAATATTGGTTTAATCAACGCTGAAAATGTGAGAAAACGTCTTGATAAAACAAAAAATCCATTTAAGCAAGTAGCATTAGTTCGAGCTGATAGTTACAATGAACACTTTTTAGTTAAATTCAAAAACAAGAATATAAGAAAATATAAAAGTCAATTTAAACGAAAAAAAAAATTTTAAAATAGTCACAAATGAAATTGTATTGTATAAATTTATATCGATTAAAACGAATACTGTTATTATAATCATCTCTTATAAAATATATTTGTAAACTATTAAAATGGATTAAAAAAAAATTAAAATAGATTATATTAATATAATTAACGTATATTTTAAAAAAAAAAAAAGAAGAAAATTTGAAGAAATTAATGTCATAAATGAAATTGTATTTTTTTTATTATTTTTATATATTGTATTGTATAAATTTATATCAATTAAAACAGATATTATTATTACAACTATCCTTTATAAAATATAATATAAAATATTATAAAATATATGAAATATTATGTGTATTTAACGCAATAGGAATATTGCTTATTTTTAAGGTGGGAGGAGTGACATTAAGCTCTCTCCCAACATCATTAAATTGAACAAAAAAGAACTTGCTGCGCTAAGCAGGTAAAACCTTTTTTTTAGTCAGTAGAAGTTAAGCTTGCATCGTGCAAAGTACTAATAAAGTTTTTATATAAAAAATAAAAAAATCGTTTTTATTAAAAATTGTCACTTACATATATCAATAATAGCTATTTTATATTTACTATTGATTTTAGTTTACCAATTCTTCATTTATATTGGATTTATATAGCGCATTTAAAATTTTTATGTAAATTGAAATAAAACAGATATAAAACATCATGCCAATATTTACTCATTATAATCGTATTAATATATACAACGGATTTTCCAAGAACAATAATTTATACTATTTCTTCTAATTAGAAGAAATGGCTACATGCTAATATGCAACCACAAATGTAGTATTGCCCACTATTTAGCAATGTAAATGCGCATGCGTACAAATTACCAATAATTGTAACACATGCACAAGTCCACTATTTAACAATGTAAATTTCAATCTTTAAGTTAGTGATAAGTTATTAGTATGTTTTGAACTTTTAATATTTGTTACATTGAAATTATTTTATTTTCTTTCGGCAATCGTATATTAATCAAATTTGAGACCAAGGATAATCTAGGGTTTAAGTAATGACACTCGAAAACATAAAAACCCTTCGCTTCTAGGTCTTGTTAAATTTCTTTTCCATTGAAACCTTTAAGACCGTAAATTACTATATTAAGACCCATTTTTTCTGGTAGAAAGTGAGGTATTTAGTAAAATTTCTGCTGCACTCTTTTAGCGAATTTAATTCTAATTTTATTGTTGCAAAATAAATTTTTTTTACCAAAATCTTGACATTGCAAATGTTTTTGCTTTTTTGCTGATTTAGGAGTGGAACTTTCTGAAATTTCGGAATTGTGACTTCTTGCTGATTTTGGGTTCTTTGACTGAGTATTGATAATTGAATCATTAATTGATTATTCTTGGAGCAAGAGTTGATCTGATTTGAAGTGGAAGAATGCTTGCCCTCTAACTTTTTGCTTTTAGGTGAATTCTTAATTAAATTTTCTAAGAAGCTGATGAAGAAGACATCAGTTTCTTTCGTTTGGAATCTATGCCGTTGCCAGTGCTTTTACATATTTTCAATTTGCCTGCATTTACTGAATATTTATTGCAGAAAAATGAAAAAATTTAAAATACGTCAACCGCCAAACAAGCATTGATATTTTTGTATCAATACTTTTGTTTTGAAAATCTTCTAACTTGAGTTATTGTGGAAAAATGGAACTAATATTTTCGAATCGGAAACAATAATGTTGAAAAATTTTCCTACGTATTATTAATAAATTCAATAAGTTTTTTTTAGAAAATATTATAATAAAAATATCAATATTATAATTAAATTTTTTTCAAACTTTGAAACAATTTTATTAAAACAAAAAAAAATTAAAAAATCTTGTGTTTATTTTTACATATATTCAATAGAGAAATCATATGAATATTAGTTATATATCAATAGCGATATTTATCACAATACGCTTTCTACATGTCAATGTAAGAAAAGTATTCTTGGAATGGAGAACAGCTGCCACATCGTGAAACTGTATCCACTTTAAAACTAATTTTAACACACAACTATAACAAAGTAAATAATAAAAGATTGGAGGATATTCTATCAGTGAAAATAAATTCAGTACTTTCAAACAAAGTCATAAACAATTTGGTACTATTTGAAGACACGGTTTTAGAGAACTTCCACCACAATTATATTATACAAATAAATTTACAAGCTAAACTCTCACAAAAGAACTGCATGTGCAAACACTGACAAGAAAAAAGTGACAACAATAGCTCCAAATGATGACTGGCGTTATTGCGTTGAAGCAACAACTTACGAATTTAAGAAATTCAACTACTGAATCTGTATTGAGTAAAACATAAGATATCAATACAATGCCAATATAATGCTCCAATTAGCAATGAGGTAGGCATATGGGATAGAAAACATATCCAAAAATCAGAGTTGTTTGTTAAATATTTAAGGTTTTATCTTTTATCCCGAATGATAATGAAGCAGCAAATCCATCAAATTGATTCACGAATTTGAATTTTAAATTTCTTGTGTGTTACAAAAGCTTGCCTTGAATCTGTTTATTGATACGATTATATATAGTTTATAGACTAGTTGAGTCTCTTATCTGAGTTTTCTAAAATCTTACCTAAAATCTTATCTTACCTAAAACTATTTGAAGAAATCATAAAACTTCAAGTGTGAATAGGTGTACCACAAGGTAGTTTTTTGACACAATATTATAAGTGTTATACAAAAGTGACACACTAATTACATCAGACACTATTTTTAGTTATGGTAATAATTCACAATTAGCATCTAGCTAAATACAAGCTTGTCTAGATAGAAACAGCAAGAAGAAAGCCCTGTCTTCCAGTTCATTTAAATAATGCTTTGAAATTCCAACCAAAAAAAGTCATTGGTAAGCATATTGACACAAGAACAATTTTTGAAAATATTTCTGAGTTTTTTCAATCATTTTGTTGCAACTATAAGTCATCAACTTTTCGTCGTCTCACATGTTTTTCTAGTATCTGAACCCCATTTATTAAGCAAAACAATTAATTCAGTTTTTACTTTACGAATCAGCCTGAAGATAAACCCCACGGTGGAAGAGGAATTCTGATAAACTCAAGAAAAAATCACTCCATCCTGGAACAACATTTCACAGCCCACATTTAAGCTACGACAATATGCATCAAATTCATTGAAAATGAAGTCGTCTTTTGTCCTCGCAGATTTTTTGTAACTGAAGCTCAATTTGTGGGTTTCTTTTATATCTTTGGTGAAAAATTTATAGCAGCGGGAGATTTGAACGTCACACATACATTTTGAGGTAATCACGTATATACGTCACGTCTATCTCTACAGTGGGCAAGTGAAATCGACATGGCTCTTTGTTGGTTTGATACAGCCTTGAAATCGGCTGCTAAACACGTCACTCCCACTGAGCAGAAAACACTCTGTAGATCTTTTAGAAAATCTTCAGATGTAATTCAAAATATCGAACAAGTGAATCGCATAACAAATAAGATTAGGAAAGCGTATATGTATTTGATAAAGTTTGGCACGCTGGTCTTATTTACAAAATCAAGGAACAAGCTCCCAACCACACTTACAAAATACTAGTTATTTCTTAAGGATAGATAATTTCATATAAAAGTTGAAAATTATACAACAGCTAATCTCAACAAAAAGGCTGAAATTCCTTAAGGCAATGTTCTTGACCCGGTACTTTACATTCTGTTTACTTTGCAAACACCAAATAATTCTCGCCTTACCAATTCCACGTTTGCTGATGACACTGCTATTTTTAGTTCTGATCAAAATACATTTATAGCATCTAGAGAATTAATTTAACACCTGGAACTCATTGAAACTTGGCTACCCAACTGGAGCAATCGTGTAAACGAAAGTAAAAGCACGCATCTAACGTATACTAACTTGGCACAAGCATATTAAGCCTAAGCGAACTTAATGAAAGCTAAAGGCACAAAAAGTAAATTGGTTATTGAATAATAACTCCAATTTACGGCTAAACCACAAAGTTTTGCTCTATAATTTTTTACCTAAGCCAACCTGGAAGTATGACGCTGAACTGTGCATGTTCTTACAACATTGAGTTGATTCAGCGTACTCAATCTAAAATCCTTCGCTAAATTACGGATGCTGTGTGGTATATAAGAAACGATATAATTAATGCAAATCTGAAAATAACAATCATGAAAGATGAACTCATTAAAATCAAATGCAAATACAAACAAAAACTTGAAATTCATCAGAACCACTTAGCAAGCCATCTACTGCTAACCCGGCCTTCTTCAAGGATACGCAGTAAATATGTACCAATGCACTGATTTTTACTTTCACATTTCCATTATTCACTTAATTTAAATTCTTTGCTTTTATTAATGTAATAGGTCTTTAAATTCAAATATCAGGTATTATTAGCTTTAATTATTATTAATTATCTTCAACTATGGTTGTCAGTTAATTTTGTTTGCTTTAGATTTTTGAGATTTAAAATCTTATTGTGAATTAATATAATAAAAAAAAATTGGTCATTTGCCATATTTTTATTTATGAAATAAAATAAAATTTTCGGAATTCATGAAGTTCTTGTCAAAGGAAAGTTACCAGTCTCGATCTTTCTATTTTTTAATAACATTGTTAATAGCTAAAAAGAACTAGTACACGACATATACGAGCATGTTTTGAATCAAAAAATTAAACGTGTTTGAATTTTTTGTTATTTTTGTATTTAAGTTTCTCTTTTTCAAAAAAAAGTGAAAAAAAACAAAATCTAGATCTCCATGTAATTATATGAACCTCAAGGATAGATCCACAGAAAAAACAATACATGAGATCGTTCATACATTTAAAATATGTATCTATTTTAAATATTTGATTCCATCCTCTCTAGACGTTGAAAGCACCATTAACATAGTACGAAAGCTGTCCAAGCCTCACTTGCCGGAATTGAAAAAATCAGAAAATGGATAGTCGTAAAGCTGGAAAATAAGATTATTCAATCTAATCAAGGCAATATTAACAAGATTTACAAAACACCACATATAATAAAGGGGTAATATCGCCATTATTGCGTTTTTTTTTTGTGGATTCTATGCTTACCATGCTAGGTTAAGTGGCTATTCAAGCAGTAGCTTATGCAGATGATAAGAATATTATGGTTAAGGAGTGTTTCTAAACTTAACTCATGATATATAGAGGATTCTGATTAAAAAAAGCTGTGTCACAGGTCCTCTATTCTGATGCTCTCTGGATATTCAAAGCAGAATTCAAAGGAGACAAGTATTGCATTCACAGTAGCGCTTTGGGGGTGGGCTATGGAACCGCTATATGAGATATTAAGCCTTTAACTCATAGACTTCTAAATTGATAATATTGTTCGTAACAATACTGACAGACTTAAAGCAACAGATTTGCTGGGCAGAAAGTACATACTGAGCTAACTCAGCGAAAGATAAAATTAACTTAAAATTTACAAACTACTAAATTACAGTATAAATAAATATACTTACTTCATCGTCTTCATCAAATAACTGTTCAGCTATTGCTTCTCTTGCAAGACCTTCATCTACATGTTCCTCACCATCGCTTTCTTCATCTTGTATTCGTCTTAAACGTTTGAAACGTTTCTTAATAATGAAAATAATATAAAATATATTAACATATTTTCAATTTTGTTTCACTTACTCCTCTTTCTACTTTAACTCCTAAATTTTCCTCAATTAGATCATAGTCATCATCCTCTAAACGATCATCTAAATCGTCATCATCGTGTTTCTTTCGTTTTTTCGATACACTAGACCCATCTGAATCTTCACCATCGCTTACCTCATCTTCTATAGGATTATCATCAATTAAATCAGCGACCTCATCTGCATCGTCTGTAATACAAGAAAACAATAGAAGACATTAAAAAATGCCACATCTGTTATTTTATAATCTACTCTACAGCAATAGTTTTTAAATAAATATGGTAAGTACCGTTTTTCACTGCCTGAAATGATTGTTTCAGTGCCTTTACTTTGTACAAGAAACGCTTATCGAATGAAGCGCAATATAAGCAAAAGAAACATCTTCAGCCTGTAGTAGATTGCCGAAAGATATAAAAAGGGTTAGATGGACAAATGGCAGTCAGACTTCAATATGCTCTCTTAATCTAGAGTTGTGCTGTTATTTTGGTATAGTGCTCAACAAAGTTCGGGGCTCCTATATTATTTTTCTCTATATCTGACTTAGCACGGAGCCAGTATACGTATTTTTATATATTTAACAAGTGCCCAGAAACCTCAACTATTTCTACTTTGTAATAATATAGAATACATATTGCAACTATATTTAATATCTTTTTAAAACTTATTTTCAATTACTGATCACTTAATCTATAACAAACTTGCGAAAATAATATACGCGTGAGGTATACGAAATCAAGGTATCATTCTATCAATCTGATTTTTTTTAGTTACATATAGTATCTTTTCATATATTTAAAACATGCATGCAAATAATTGTTAGAACTTATATGCGCATAGTGACATCAGGTTACATGTTACTATTTATATATGACATATTAGCAAACCTTCATCTTCTTCTTCGCTGCTATCCGCCATCCGCTTCAAACTTTTTAACTTTCTACGTTCATGCGGGTCAAGTGCATTTTCCTCCTATGAAATTTATATATTAATAACGACTTTATTATTTTGTATAATTTTACATCAGACTCTTCTGCTTCAGAATCAAGGAAATCAGCCATTTTTATATTTATTATTGACACGTAGCAACTCGCTTATAAATCCACAATTGTAAAATATTTACAATACCAACTTTAACGCAATCTCGTCTTATCGATATTTTATTTTAAATCGTTATCAGTTATCAAAAAATGAATGTAATTTTCGAACAGCTCTAATCAATAAATCATGATTGAATCATACCTGGGATACACGAGAAAAAATGTTGACGAACATATATTATATAATATTTTCATATACAATTTTTTGAACATATAGAATATATATGTAGTTTATATGATATTAATAAACTGTTTTAATCCATGTGGTGTCACGTAATACTACGTTTATTTTGTGATATTAAGAGAATATGATTTAGTTAATCTACATTTTTAATCTTTAGCGTTAACATTATACATTTTGGATTAATATGGACGTTTCTCTTGCTTTGTTTTGCTTCGAGTGTTTGATAAATTTCTATAAATAAAGCATTTAATTACAGCTGTGTTCAAAAAAATTTTAATATTAATTTAATAAATACTTTTATAACAATAACTTAATAAATTTTAGTTATAATTATGTTCAAAACTATTTTTAACAAAATTAAGATTAAAAGGAGATTAAAGCAATAATCGAGATTAAAGTACTAATCTCTTTGTTTAATCTCAGATTTCTCATATAAAAGTTAATCTCGTTCTGGTCGAGATCAATTTCAAATCTCCTTCAACATGGTGATTATTTTTTTGTGCAACTCTGCGAATGTCTTCATTTCATAAATTTTTTAAGGATATTAGAAGAATTGGAAGACAAAAGTCTAAATTTATTCAAAACGAACGTTGAAAATTTGAAAATTCCGGGATGAGTGAAATTTCTATTAAATTTTTTAAAAATAATAGTTTTATATATAATTGTAACTTAAATTTGTTAAATTTTTGTTATTAAACTATTTATTAAATTTATATTAATTAAATGTTTTAATGACCAAAAGAAATTTTTTAAAAATAATTATTTCACGGGCTAAATAATGATATTTTTTTAAAAAACCAAAAAAATTTATTATTTAGTTTTATAAGATTTTTATTGTCCAATATTTCGGCTATAATCTATAGTCATCATCTGGCAACTATACATATAAATTCATTGTAATTAATATTAAGGTATACATTACATAGAAACAATAATATATTACATTTACATTGAAACATGAAACATACATATGTATTTGGAAAATATACAATACTTTGACTATAAGAATCATAAATATATTTTTCGTATATATACATATGTTATTTTCATGATTCTTATAGTCAAAGTATTGTATATTTTCCAAATACATATGTATGTTTCATGTTGGGTTTATGGTAAGTTATTTGCGTTTTAAATTAACAATAAAAATTAATCAGTTTTCATTGTAGATATTAACTCCACACTGATTGTATATAGGTTGGAAATTAGTTAAAATTTCCATCCTTACAACACCCATACATTCCGAATTCAATTTTTCCCCTCCATAATTTTATTGGTCTTTCAGTCCTGTCACCTGTTCTATATTCATAAGCTGTCTGCTTCATTTTTTCACATCTCTGTAACGTAAAACCCTAATATTATATATAATTTTTTATGTACTAAATTTAAGAGCGAACAAATTTTAAGTCCAAAAATATTTCCTTTTATTTTAATTATTTGGGTTACTATAATAAATATATAAGAAAATGAAAAAAATAATGTAAGTAAAAAAAAATATTTCATAGAGTAATTATTTAGAGACATCAAAATATATACTCAATAAGTAAATATGTATAAAAAAGAAAAAAAATATGTATTGAAAAAGAAGAAAATAATAAAAAATAATTATAAACAAAATTTCGCCTCAATTTGGTGGTTTGTTTTTTTTTTAATCATACAATCTTGTAATTAGGCATTTACCATCATGACGTCACTTCGTGTTGCTGGGGTATCTAGCGAAATAAATTTAGAAAAAAAACAATCTATATATGTAACAAAACAAAAAAAAATCAAAACCAGACACCTAATGTGTTTGTAGAAATATTTTTACAAGGTGTTTGTTAAAAATTATATTATATTATTATGTATAAATAAGGCGCCTTTGAATTTTTGACAATTCAATTGATGCGAAGCCACATTCGTTATTAATTCATTGCTTTATTCTATTAGCTTTGTAAATTTAGTTCAATTGCTAAATTTACGTCACATAAGCGCCTATTCACTGCATTTAAGTGTTCAGTGACCAGGATAATTAGGACAATCGTCGAAATCTCTGGGTTCAAGTACTCAGAGGTTTTCTTGTTTAAATAGAATCAACATAAGTACTGGATTCAAGTGTTCAGTGCTTGCAAATAGTTGATTCCAACGTTGATCAGACATTTTGGTTTGATCGTTCATTTTGGTGACCCCGTGAAACGGACAGCAGCACTGGACTGGTCTGACGCAGCAGCGATCAACAGTCAACATAGCAGTCAACAATCAGCGTCATTTGAAGTACATTTTGAAGTACAAAAATCTTTGACTTAAGTTCAACGATGGCAACAATCAAAGCAGCAGACAACTTTGGTGAAAGTGCCAGCAACCAAATGGCATCACAGCCGCAACTAGTGGCTACACAAATGGTTTGATAAGAAAAATATCTGCTCGAATGGCAGCTCTAAAAAGATTAGTAGAGAGCTTGTCAGAGAGCGAAGGCATACAGCCAATTCAATATTACGAAATTAAATCAAACATGATCATGCAACAATGGAACCAACTGGGATATTTGCATGATGAACTGTGGGAAAACTTGGAAAATCCGCTAACGTCAGGATTTAACCAAGATGAATATTACCAAATTGAAGATTTGGTACAACAAGGTCTGATAGAGCTCTCCATAAAATTGGATCAACTACAAAACAAACAAGCAGCAGTAGCAGAAACAAATATGCGTTCCTCACTGCCATTGCCAAAGGTAACAATCCCAAGTTTTAATGGGAATTACTTAAAATGGAGGCATTTTTTTGACTTGTTTACACAAATGGTAGACAATCAGCCACTACTAGCTGCTCAAAAAACGTGGTATTTCAAATCACATGTGACAGGTGAAGCTGAAAAATTTATCAGTCATTTCAGCATAACGGAGGAGAATTATCCTGCAGCCTGGACATTATTACAAGATTTCTATAACAATAAAAGGGTCTTGATGTCCACCTTAATCGATGAACTTCTAAATCAGCCATCAGGCATATCAACTGTGGCAGCAGTTAAAAATTTACATGACACAACGAAAGAGTGTCTATTAGCACTGAACAATCTTGGCGTTCAAACGACTTTTTGGGACCCAATTTTGTTACAGGTACTAATTAAAAAACTCGATCGGATGATGCTCATTAGATATGAGCAATCTCTGGCAAAACCAAAAGAGATACAAAACATTCAGGAGTTTTTAGCCTTTTTAGAGCGACAATTTCAACTGATGGAAGTTGTAGAACAAAAAAAAAAGGTGGCCATAAAAACTGAAGCAGATCGAAATAAATCAGTTTCGTCGGCTGTAACAGTTTCTAAAGGAAACAACAATTGCAAACTGTGCAATGTAGACAGGGACCCACTGTACCATTGCCGTACATTCCTGCAATTTTCACCATCTCAACGATTGGATTGGGTGAAAAACCAACAGCTCTGTTTCAACTGTTTCAAAAATGATCACGTGGTGAACAAATGTTTGTCAAGAAGTTGTACCAAATGTAATAAAAAGCATAACACGTTGCTACATTTGGAAGGTAACAATCAAACAAATCAAAACATTCAACCTACTTCAAGTGGGTACAATACTGCAGTTACTGCAGCGACAGCAAACACTTCCACAGGTCAGCGTGAATATGTTTTTTTGCCAACTGCAAGAGTCAAAATAACTACAGCTAATGGAAATATAATTGAAGTCCGAGCATTACTAGACTCTGGTTCACAAGTGAATATAGTCTCTGAGCGTCTTATCAGAAGGCTCAATATATCAAAAAAAAATCGTTATTGTGCATAGAAGGTATAGGAAAGGTGCACAAAAATTCAACGCAGCGAGTTAACATCAAATTGCAATCCCTTAACTCGAGGTTCACTACAGAAGTCGAAGCGTTTGTGCTTCCAAACATAGTTCCACCTCAACCAAGTTCCAGCTACGATATTTCCAAATGGAAGGTCCCGAACAGCATTCAGTTAGCTGATCCAACATTTTTCCAACAAGGGAAAATTGATATTTTACTCGGTGCGGAGTTCTATTTCAGTAAAATCACGCTTGCTCCTGGGCTTCCAGTCTTGCAAAATTCTACACTTGGCTGGATTGTCAGTGGCAAGGTTGCATCAAATACAGACACATCAAACGTTTTATGTGCAGTTTTTGGCGGTGGAATGGAGGCTGTTGATAATAATTCATCGTTAGAAGATGCAATTGAACGATTATGGCGAATGGATGAGGTGAATATAACAGAAAGGACATTATCCAAAGAAGAAAAATTATGCGAATCTCATTTTGTGCAGAACGTCCATACAAATAAAAAAGGACGTTTTGTGGTAAGGTTGCCGTTTCTGAAAAACTCATTGACGTTAGGGGAATTTCAAGAAACAGCTTGGAGAAGGTTCATCAGTCTTGAACGACAACTAGCAAAAAATGATGTTTTGCGGAAACAATATGTCCAGTTTATGGAAGAGTATGAGCGATTGGGTCACATGACTGAAGTAAACTTGGATTCCATGTTGACTCCAAGATATTTCATTCCTCATCATTGCGTACTAAAACCAGATAGTACAACTACTCAACTTCGAGTGGTGTTTGACGCATCAGCCAAAACTACATCTGGACACTCGTTGAATGATTTAATGTATAACGGACCGACAGTTCAAAGTGAACTCTTTTCAATTCTGCTCCGTTTTAGGCGACCACGGTTTGTTTTCACCACAGATATCGAGAAAATGTATCGTCAAGTTTTCATAAATCCTGAAGATCGACGCTATCAACTTATCATTTGGAGAAGCAGTCCAAATTCAACGATTCGTTATTATCAGCTAAACACAATTACATATGGGACTCGAGCAGCTCCTTACCTAGCAACAAGATGTCTGCAAAAGATAGCATCAGAAAACAAGGTGAATTATCCATTAGGAGCTCAAATCCTGTGTGACAATTTCTACGTTGACGATGGGCTCGGTGGATCAGATAGTTTAATTACGGCTATTGAAGCTCAAAGACAACTAATCCATATTTTGAAGAGGTATCATTTTTATCTTCGGAAATGGAGCGCAAACCATCCTCAACTTTTGAAAAACATTTCTCAAGATGATCAAGAGGTAAATCTAGATTTCGATAATAACGAGTCAATCAAAACGCTGGGATTATTTTGGTTGCATAAGGCGGATTTATTTCGAATTAGGGTCAAAATGGTTACTGAAGGAATAATCACGAAGAGAGTCGTTAGTTCTGATTTAGCTAGACTGTTCGATTCACTTGGTTTAGTAGCTCCAGTAATAGTCAAAGCAAAGATTTTCATACAACACTTATGGCAGTTGAAATTATCTTGGGATGGACCACTTCCTACAGATCTTCGTACAACATGGTCAACATTTAGCGAAAACTTAAGTACTCTAGAAAACCTTCAAGTGGCAAGACATATTTTCAGAGGCGAGGTTCCATCATCAACACAACTACTCATTTTTACTGATGCATCTGAAAAGGCATTTGGTTCTGCAGCATATCTCAGAGCAATTTTAAAGGATGGTAGAATAATAGTGCGACTATTATGTGCAAAGTCAAGAGTAGCACCACTCAAAAAACAAACGCTACCGCGACTAGAGTTATGTGCGGCAGTCCTAGCAGCGGAACTTTCAGCAAGAGTCAAAAGCGATCTTCAGGAGAAGGACCAGCCAGTATTTTTGTGGACTGATTCAGAAATTGTGTTGTCTTCGATCAACTCACAGTCCTCATCATTTCAAACATTTGTAGCTAACAAGGTGGCAAGAATTCAAACTTTAACTCTGTCTGAACAGTGGCGATATGTTAGGTCAAAGGACAACCCAGCTCATTGGCGTAACTACAGGGAAGCAATTGGAAGCAACGCTTTCGGGCCCCCCAATTTAGGGGGCCCCACTATAAATTTTTGTATTCATTGTATTTATTTTTAATAAATTCTCAAAAGTGGGACGAAACGTTTTTGTTGGAATAACTTCATATTGCATTTTTTAAAAGATACGTAAATTTTAAATTTAAAGTACATAATAAGTATGTACTTCAAATAAAATATTAAACCTATTTATAAAATAAAAAAGTTTTTCTAAGAAAAATATGTGTCTTAATCGAGAGTTTATATGGGAGCTATATCTAGATTAAAACCCATTTAAAAATAATTTTGTACGTTGTCTTTTGCAAATATCAGTACTGTATACACCAAATTCCATTTGAATACCTTTATTAAAAACGGAGAAACCTCATATCCGATTGTTAAGTTTATATCACAGCTACAAGAAATAGACGTCCAATTTCAATCAAATCAAATGGTGAACAGGGTTGGCTCCCGAAAAGTATGTGTGTAAAGTTTCATTCAAAGAGTTCAAAAGCTGAGAGAGTAGTTTGAACTGAAAAAGTATATATATATATTGTACTGATATATACTTAATGGTATTTCCGACGTTTTCTTTAATGCGTTACGAAAATCTTGACAAACCTTATATACCCTTTTCACATTTTTTCGTGTAAAGAGTATAAAAAGAGGGGCCCCATAGTATGTTGGTAGGGGCCCCTTAGTTAGAATTTGCTTACAGGCCTAAAAAATGTAGTTACGCCACTGACCCAGCTGATGTGTTATCAAGAGGACTTTCAACAAAGGCATTGTCAACATGTGCACTTTGGTTTCAAGGACCGTTCTTTTTGCATGGAAGGCAGGAAGTATGGCCACCAAGGTTTTTATCATCATTACAAGTTCCACTTGATCTGGAGAAGAAAAAGGTTGTAGCTGTAGCAACTCAATGCAATGACGCAGATTTCATATACAGGATTTAGCACAAGAATTCTTTCAAGACGTTACGAAGGATAGTAGCATATGTTCTTAGATTCATTAACAACACAAGAATGTCAAAGGAGTCACGTGCCATACATATAGCACCCCGTGCTACCGAATTAAAGGTAAATCAACAGCCCGAGCAACGGTTCAGCGATGCATTCGATGCAACGACTATTGCGGACCATTTTGGATCCACTACAAGGTGAGGGGCAAAAAGCCAACAAAGGCATATATTGCTGTCTTTTGTTGTTTTGCCACATAGGCGGTACATCTCGAGTTGGTGACCGACTTATCAACAAATGCTTTCATTGGAGCATTAAAACGATTCATAGGTCGACGAGGGCGTTGTTTGAATATTTACAGTGATAATGCAACAAACTTCATAGGCGCCAAAAACCATTTAGCAGAACTAGAGGAAAGCATTTATTCTAATGAAGGGCAAGAAGCAATAATCTCTGCTTGCAGTACTACAGGAATAAACTTTCATTTTATTCCACCAAGGGCTCCACACTTGGGCGGTTTATGGGAAGCATCCGTAAAGTCCGCAAAATATTTGTTACTACGCAGCGTTTCAACAGCATCATTGACGTATGAAGAACTCGAAACAGTGGTGGTGAAAATTGAAGCGATATTAAATTCACGACCATTGACTCCAATGTCCAATGATCCAACTGATTTGACAGCATTAACTCCAGGACACTTATTAATTGGAGAAGCTCTTACAACTCTGTAGACAGCCGATCAAAACCAGAAAAACACACGTTATTGTTACGTTGGAACCTAGTTTCCCAGTTAGAACATGATTTCTGGAAAAGCTGGTCTAACGAATATTTAATGGAACTGCAACAACGTAACAAATGGAAAACACAATCTGCCAACATACAGTTAGGAGACATGGTTATAATCAAGGAAGATAACGTCCCAGTGATGCAGTGGCCCTTGTGACGAATTGTAAATGTGCACAAGGCTACAGATGGACGTATCCGAATAGCTGACGTTAAAACATCGACAGGCATTTTTAAACGCCCAATTCATCGAATAGCTGTACTGCCTGTTAATACAGATGATCAACCAACAATGGCTGAAGCTGATCACGAAATACCTCCTGACAACGTAATTATTGAAGATAAAAAAGTGTCGTATGAAGAACCCAAGACAAAACGTAGAAAACTGCCAACCAACTTATACTGTTCTGTATTACTCACACTATTACTAATATTGCCAATAGTAATAGGGTCTCCAATTGATAATAAAAGATTTGAGTCGAAATTGGGTATTCATTTTGAAAATCTGGGCATAGCTGCCATATCAAGTACTGAATGGAATCTATTAGTTTATTACGACTTAAGTCTTTATTGGACAGAAGCATCTGCTCTAAACACAGGAATAACGTCGCTACATCAAACTTGTCAGCAAATAAAACCAAACGCATCATGTGCGAGTACAATTAATCACTTTAAATATATTGAATCCGAACTACAACTCGATGATAAATTACTTCATGACCATCGATCCAGAAGAGGAGCAATTGATCTTGTAGGCAATATTGCACATTCGCTATTTGGAGTATTAGACTCAGAATATGCCAAAGGAATGTTAAATATAATTTCAGAAGTGAAACAAAATGAAATACAATCATTGACGTTATTTAAGAATCAAACATCAGTTGTCGATTCAACAATCAATATAATGAAGAAAGATAAAATCGCAGTTCAAGAAGGTTTTGAGCACATTGACAATGAAATAAAGGCACTGATGTATTCCATAAAAGATACAAATAGAGAGGTTAATCAGGTACGGCTCAATCAAGTTTTCAATGCAGGAGCCATTCAACTAACACTGGTAGCACATAATCTATAGAAGATACAATCTGCTATTATAGATGCTCTAACTGATACTCATCATGGAAAAGTCAATCCGTTGTTATTGACACCAACACAATTACAAAAGGAAATCATACCACTAAATCTAAAAGGTTCAGGCTTATTAACGATGGACCCAGACTGCGTGCTTAAACACAGCTTCGTTGCAAGCACGTCAAGATATTCATACAGTAGTCTTGGTAAAATCTCCGAATTAAGGCTACAATTCCCTATGAAGACATCAGATTATTAATTATTATTTAAATAGGCTATTTGTGCACCCCGACCTAAAAGATCTATTGTGCACCTGTAGAGCCAACTAGGACAATTTTAGACTATTTATAAATCTTATAATTGCAGTGGGCTTAATTTTACCTATTTGATTTGGGACCAGAATCCCGCTACCAAGGTAATCGAGTCTACGTCTTGCCACCGCTGGGCAGTTGCATAGAACATGTTCTAATATTTCCTTCTCCTCATGACAGAGTCGACAGGAATCACTTTCTACCGCACCTATAATCTTCATGTGGTAATTAAGTCTACAGTGTCCTGTAAGAAGTTCAGTGTAGATTTTGATATCATTTCTGCTAAGGTTGATGATAGCATCAACTTTGATGTGTTCAGGATCAATGAATCTTTTTGACTGTCGCATGCCTGTTTGGGCTCTCCAATGTCTTTCATCTCCTGTGTATTCAAATATATTTTGTTGTAAAAAATAATTTTGTCAATGCAATGCCCAAAAACACGTCATACGCTTTGTTTGCTCATGAAAACAAAAGCGTCAAATTTCGTTTGCAAGAAAATGCACTTTTGCAGTTTGTAACAAGTTCATTGTTTGGTATGCATGGTTAAGGTTATTTTAGTTAATTTATTTGTTGTAAATTGATTATAATTTTAAATAAAAGGCACAATTGAATTTTTGACAATTGAATTGATGCGAAGCCACATTCGTTATTGGTTCATTTTTTTAGCTTTGTAAATTTAGTTCAAGTGCTAAATTTACGTCACATAAGCGCCTATTCACTGGATTTAAGTGTTCAGTGACTAGGATAATTAGGACAATCGCCGAAATCTCTGGGTTCAAGTTTTCAGTGGTTTTCTTGTTTAACTAGAATCAACATAAGTACTGGATTCAAGTGTTCAGTGCTTGCAAATAGTTGATTCCAACGTTGATCACACATTTTGATTTGATCGTACAGTGTACAATTTCATAATAAAAATAAGTTCATACATAAGTTCATGTAACTATAGCAAGGAAAACCCAAATTGCTATATATAAAAAAATATTAATAATTCAAGTAAACTAAAAAAAAACTACTAATAAAAAAAAATTTAATGACGTAAAAAAAATTAATTAAAAGTAAAAAAACTAATTTAAATAAAAAGAATATATAATAAATTAAAACAAAATTATATCAGAGCTAAGCAAAGCAATCAAACATTATTAATCAACACAACTTTATTAATTGTTTAAATTTAGTTTAATTACTTCGACTACTGGCAGTGGGATTCACGAAAAAAAAAATATGAAAATCAGGTCCTGCAACACTTTCATGCGGTTCTGCAATTTCCGTTTGCAAATATAAAACTGTGGGGTTAGTTTACCGCAACAGCCGCCATTAGATGTAGTTCTGAAGAATCTTAAGGTTACTTAAATATATGCGTACTGCTTCTTCTTGTAGTTAACGATGTTGTTCTCGATGAGTATTTACTGTTGTTGATTCGGTTAGTATAAATGTGAAGTATATATTTTGCTAATCAAGCAAGAAGATTAAGATAGAAGATTAAGATAAGTCTGCATTTGACTTCGGATTGGGCGTTGAGAAGACTCCTGGCAAACCCATACGGCGTCTTGGGTTTCTCTTTTCCGACGGGTGCCCTGTACTACGAAAACGTAATTATTTGACCGAATGAGCCAGGTTAAGGAACTATATATAACATTAACAAAATACTTGACCGAATGGGCCAGCTCTATACTTTTTTGGCTGAATGAGCCAGGTTTTGGTGGATTTTACCAGTAGGCTGAATAAACCAAAGTACTTGTTCCTTCGCAAGTCAAAACACAAAGCTTTGGTAAAATTTATCAGTAGGCTGAATAAGCTAGAGCACTTGTTCCTTCGCAAGTCAAAACACAAGTCCTCAATCATTACAAATGCGCGTTCTTTTATATATAATATACCGGAGCTTTTTGGTGTAGCGCACCGGTATATTTGCTGTTGATAACTTCGCCGTAAATGTTGAACTATTCGTGTTACTTTTGTGTTTTTGTGTATTTTTCATATTCGCATGCTTTTCGTTTTCGCCGTGGTTTCGTTTGTTTACTTCGCGTAGTTCCGCATATATAAAATATATTCCCAATAATAACTATAAATAATAATTATAATTATGTGGAGAGGAATATACGTGAGTGATCAACAAGTAATTTCGCATAAAAAACTGGTGCAGTGTGTTTATGTTAATTTGTTTTTGGCGGTGGCTAATTTTTATGTTTGATTTGTTTTATATGCATAAAAGAATAAAAAAATGTACATAGTGAATGTTAAATTGTTTTGTGTTTATTTAATTATTAATTGTTAAATAAATGTGTTTTCTTTTGTAATGTTTTTGTTGTAACTAGACAGAAGAATAAAATTCAAGTTTTCTTTCATTCATAAAAATTCATGATTGTTCATTGCTTCTTTTAGATTTGTGCAATTCATGTATCGATGTCCGCGGCTCGTTGGAACCGAGGATCGCAGGTGATGTCCATACATTTTGTGATCAAATATATTTTAGTAATTTTTATGTTTTCTAGTTAATTTCAACGCAGTTTAATTTAAGTAAGTGTTTTCATTATAATGTGTGTGGGTGTTGTGATGCTGTGTTTTTATAGCGACGGTCAGACACCGTTTTTCTCGTATTCTTGTAGCATGTGCGGTAGAAATTTGATAAACAAATTTGTATCGTCACAATTTTATTATTCAAGATATTTCACAGACCTGAATTTGATTCGCGACTCGTCAATATCAAAATAAAAAAAAATACTTCCCAAAGTCACAACCAAAAAACCTTCTGACTTCCAACTCCCACTCAAAAAAAAACCAACGTCTTTCATCTCCTGTGTATAAATTATTTTATCGTTCAGTATTAGCCAGAAATAACTTTGATTTTTTCCCCCCATTTATAATTCTCCTTTAAAAAAAACGCCAATCAGACCAAAGAAAATAACAGAGCAAAAAGACCCTCTTTTCCACCAAACGTATCCTTTCATATCCTCAAATCTTTCGTAACCGACCAGTTTTCTAAAAATTTTTGCTCATTTTTCAGATCGTTTTTCAAACTCGCTGTTAATACAGTTTTTTCCTCCTTTTGGCGCAATCCAAAATGGTATCACTTTTCCTTTTAATAACTTTATTTATATTCCTATTGTGCATTGCTCTGGCAGCATTACTTATTTCAACTCCTAAAGCTTTCGCCGTCAATTTGATCAAAATAAAAAAATGTACAAAAGCGTTACCATGTGTTTTTGCTTTGCATGTACAAGAAATTGACATTTTGTCGTTAAATAAAAATAAAGTAATTTCAAAAAAATTATATATTGTAAGGCCCAAATTTTGCGCTAAAATATAGGTCCACAAACTAAACGAATGATCCTGTAAATTACATAGTTAATTACATAGCGCTTTACATATATTAAGTTAAAAAAATATGCATAACAGATGTCTCTACAAAAAGAATAGCTTTAAAACAAAAATAGGCAAGCTCAAAGATTAACTTTCAATTCATTGAACTTGTGTTTCCAAATAAAGCTGTAGTTTATAAGGTCGTTCTAATTTAAAGCACGGCAAGTGCTTTGGTTGGTGTCACTATTTAAATAAAAATAAGTGACAAT